AATGGAGAGACCTTAAGCTCTCTGAGAGGACTGAAGAGGCCACTGGGTACCAGTCAGATATCGAACCACACGTCTACATTAATGACGTCCCTATGCTTTTCCTCACCTCTGCCTACCCCAGCGATGGCATCAGGGCTGACTCAGTTGCAGTCTCTCCCTCTGTATATGAGTGTAGATCAGGTTTTTCTTCAGTGCTAGTAAGCATAGTGCTGAAACTGTGCTGCTGTCGTTCTTGTGGTCACATCACCTCTCTGATTCATATCTATTGCCTCCTTTTCTGAGGAAAACATGCTACACAGAGTTATCTGTTCATGTGGCGATGCACATAGTTGTAGAAAGAGCCAGAGCATGCTCTGCTGTGCTGTTATGATGCCAGGCTGGCCATCATAGAGGACAGTCCAGTTGTCCTCTGTCCTCTATTGGTATGAAACTGAATGCCTTTATGTTCTCTATTTTTCTCTTAAAGAGAAAAATAGAGGACATAAAGGTGTCGGGTTTCGTATCAATAGAGGACAGAGTAGCAGAAAACTGGAATGTCTATGATGGCCACTGGGGACATCTCCATGTGCGATTTATGCAAAGAGATAAACTCCAGAGTTTATTGCACTGAAATTTATTACTCCCAGGCGTGCCATTTGAACGTGAGCCTGGGACTGCGGCATGTTAAGCCAAGTTGGAGGAACCCTGGCTGGCAGGGGGCCCCAAGGGTCAGCCTGCCAGCCCAGGGCTGCTCTCCCCTGGCTCAACATGCTGCCCTGGCTGGCTGAGGCATGAGGGTGCAGGGCTAGCCATCCAGCAGTCCCCACACTGAAGCACCCTTGTGCCCTAGCCAACTGGGGCAGCATCTACATGTGCAATGCTGTCAAGTTTTTTGCTTTGTACTATCCTGTTGCAGAGTTACTTTACTCCAACCTAATAGGGGTACACATGTGGATGTGCAACATTTACTGCAGAGCTAATTAGTCTACTACACAGTAAACATCTTGTGTAGATGCACCCACTGAGTGGTATTTTTCTCCTTGCACTCATAATTCAGCCCATCTGCTTACCTCTATGTTACAGAATGGAATAAACGGTCTCATGGGGGACTGGTGCCACCTTAGTCAGGGGGGGCATGTGCCCCCCCAGCGACCAGTCAGCAATCTCACTGATGGCGGGGGATGATCTCGCTGACTGGGGGGAAGTTCCCCCTCGGCTGATCTTGATGACCGGGGACTGCTGACTGGGGTCCCCCTTCGGCCGATCTCACTGACTGGTGCTCCCACCTGCCCCCCCGACTAAGGCCTAAGCAGGGAGTGCAGCTGGTCGGGGGGTGCACTGGCACTCTCAGGGGGTGCATATGCACCCCTACGCATTGTCACTGAATGGTTTTAGCCTTTTCCTACAAGTTTACTTTGCTACAGCTCCCATTTTCCAACAGATTGCAACCTGTCCAGGATTTTTGTTTTCTGGGTTTTCCTTTTTTTTTTTTTTTTTAACTTTTGCTTGGCTTGCCTTAATCACTCAGAGGCAAAGAGGGATCATTCAGAAAAAGACATCTGTGAGTTTAATAAATGAAGACACTGTGTATATTATGAATGAAAGTGACAGACAAAGTTTGGATGCTTTTAAAGTTTCCAAAATTATTTCTAACCAGTGTCAACATATCAAGAATTTCCACTGAAAGCCTTAAAGCACTACTTACTGTGTAAATAACTTCTTATTCAGCTCCCATTGTACTGAACACACATTAGTTTGTACCTGGGGCCTAATTTTATTTTTATGACCCTATTTTACAGCATTACATTGCTATCCATGCAGATGCTTCCAGAGATGATGGTGAGGTAAGCACAATGATATGTTTTATCCAGCTAGTGGCTGAACGCTTTTTGTTAAGGGTGTCATATCTCAGCTGGCCCAGGTTTCTAAGGAGAATTAGGGGTGCTCAGCTCTTTGTAGGATCACACCCTGGAATACAAATGTTTCGGAAACAAGGAAATGTGATGCTTCCTATTGTAAACCTAATTCTAATAGGAAGTGCCCTGTGCACAGTGTTCATTTAGGACAAGATCCAGTACCTACAGAAGTAAATGGGAAGACTTTATTTGGATGAGGCACTTACTGTAGTTTGTGCTTTCCATCAGGATGTTTCCCATTGGATGCTGTTTTCTTCTCTTATTTTTCCCACTTTATTTCATTATTTCCTAGTCTTTATTATGACATTCCTCTAGAAAATAGCTTGGGAACTGTAACTGTGAGATTTATTTCTCCGTTAAAGATTTCTGGGATATTTTTAATCTTTGTGTGTACATGTGTTTGTGTTTCTGTGTGTGCACATATGCAATTGCTTGTCTGTGTTCATTACTTTCTTTCCTTATAGTTTGGTGAAAACATTCCAGTTTATAGAAATATCTACCATCCTATATAATTCAATCTCTTCCCTGAATTACCTGTTAAAGCTCCTGTAGTCAGGCAGCTCTGGCTTTTCTTCAGGCTTAAACAGTTTAGGGTATAAAGCCTCCAACAGCTCTGGGTCATTTCTGATAGCTTCTATCCAGGGTGACTGATAATATTTTGGCACAGAAGTAGTGTTGAACTTTTCAGGAGGAATTTCTTTCAGTGGTCCAGAATATCCTTAACAGAAACAAATCTTTACATTATACCTTTCTCTCAAGTATCTCAAGTACAATTAAAGACAGTAATGAATTCATATCATAATCCAATGTTACATATAAGAATGATGATAGCCGCCCTCCACCTCCCCTTATGGGGGGAAGAGAAAGTGACCAGCGAAGTGGAATATATCACTTGCAGAAGTGGGGGCAACACATAAATCCAACCTTTGTCTCAGATTAATTAAATGGGCTCCAACTCACCTTCAGTTAAAATGTTCCAGTTCTACCTGTAGATAGGCCTTTGGGTTGGATTTCCCAAAGCAGTAAAAGGAATTAAGGACACATGCCCTATCACTTTTACTGTGGGACTTTTGCTCATCATTCCTTACTGCTTCTAAAAATTCCTCCCGCTCTGCTGCCTTTTGCCCTTCATGGAAGGGAAGAATCAGGCCCCTTCTCTCCCCAGCCTAGGAGGGACAGATTCTGACACTTTTACTGTAGTTGAGCAGTATTGAGATATTACACAACTTAGTCTTTTGACCAGTGGGACTGCTTTCCTGGCTAGATACCACATAGCACCAATAAAAGGAGCAAAGGCTAGCCCTCAATATATAATATAATATGAAAACCAGCCAGGAGTTATCCTAGCACATGATCTAAAATATTAATTTCAAAATGAGAAGAATGTATTTTTTCACTTTTTAACCCACTGGATTTCTGATCCTCTATTTATGCTTCAAAAACAATTTGTTTCCAAAATTGGAAACAATTTTGTTTGCAAATCTAAAATCTACTGCCTCTTTGTCAGGATTTTGGTGAATATATTCTGCATGCACCCAGCTTGAGGACTTAGCTTATGTATCAGTTATGGAAACAGATTGCACCCATTTGCTTTGTGTTTGGCTTGTGGATATGCAGAGTTTTAGCAAGCGCTAATAGAGTAGCACTGACCTAGTTTATGTTGGCTGGTAAAGGTCTGCACAAGAAACGCTTTGAATAATTTTGAACAAAGAATGAATTTGTAAAAAACCACAGCCTGCTCATGGATAATTCACAAACAGGAAAGAGGACTCTATCACTGAATAAATTATTTGTCGCAAATTATTCAGTCAACTCTAGTCTTTAAAGGAAACAAAACAAGGCCTCCCTTTAGCTCAGTGTTTTAAATAAAATAGTCTTTTTGCAATGAAGGACTTTAAATAAGTAGAAAAATTATCTGCAATCACAGGCAAATTCCCCTCTCAGCCACTCCCATATAAAAGGTTCAGTTAAAATTTGCGATGACTTAAGACTTCTATTTTGGCTGTAATAAAATTATGGTGGGTGACCTTAAGACCATTGACAAGTTTGGTGCAGATTAAGCAGTTAAGTCTGGCAAGACCAAACCAAAGGGTTATGCTGATATAGAATCTGGGGACCTGACCCTGGATATTTATCCAAACTTATCTAGTATATTTAGGCAGGAGATTGGGCTGTTTCTAAATTGGCTCTTACATCTGAAAACAGTGTCTCTCAGTGTATTTCCATTATGGAAATATACTGGTATTTTCATTATGAGACTAGACAATGGAGAGGCACATGAAGACTCAAGATAAGGTGTTTAAACTACATTGCTTTGCATTCCAGTTGAAGGTTCAGATGAGGTCTGACTTCATCTGAATCAGTTTGCTGATCACTAGTATATAGCCCATTAATGATAATGTAAAAAAAGACCTTCTGTTCATCACGAAACAGTTGAGTCCTCAGTGCATTTCACATATTCCTCAGTTTGTTCTTTACCTGGGGCAATGTTTTCAGGATTCGGTGGGCTCCGGGGGTCAGGTGTATTAGGAGGTGTCATTGGTGCATGCTGTTGGACACTATCCACACTCATAGTTTCCAGTTTAACACTCTGTATGGGTTCACCACGCTGCATTTGAATAGAAACAAATATCACTGACAGTATCTGCTCAGAAAAATATCCTTTCTGATTCTCTGTTGAGAGAATGAACAGTTGTTCCCATTTTACAGATGGGAACTGAGGCACAGGATACACTAAGTCACTTTTCCAAGGACACACAGGAAGACTTTGACTGAGCTGGGACTTGAACCCCAATTTCTTTATCTGGTTCACTAGGTCATTTTTCCAAGTATTTTCAGATGAGTCACCCCTTATTTAAAGTAAAAAAAAATTGCAGACCCTTTATACATATTGTAAAAGGTAGAGAAAAACGTATCAATGACAATAACTCTATGCCCATCGCAGTTTTGGAAATGTTTTGAGAGACTGACAGAAAATATGTGACCCTTGAAGTGAAAGAGTATGTAAGATATGGGGGAGCAAGAATTTCTTCGCTTTTTATTGTAAATACATTTATAATACCTTGCAATGCCAAATTTAGTTTTGTGAGCCCCCCTCCAGGGGTCATGACCCAGTGGTTGATAAACAATGCACTTGATCATTCTTCCTAGCCTAGGTCACAAGCTAGGACTCAAGCAATCTGATGGGCTACTATGTAAGGCATCAATTTTCTATAGATGTCCTCTGTACAGGCATTGAAAATTCATTACCCATTTTAAAAATCTATACACTTTTGTGGGATTTTTTATAGTATAATAGTAATAACAACTTCAGTTTAGGATATTAATGGTAGACTGGAGTTTTCCATCCCTCCCTTGAGATCATTATCTCTAAGGAAATAATCAAAGTCTTAATCATTGATGCTTAAATATAGAATCAGAACCACATAAAAAGTCAGTATCTTATTTTAGCTATGACACATCTTTTAAAAGAAACTTAAATATAGGCTTTCTTAGAGTAGGATTTCTTTGGAAAAATAAACACATGCTTTTTACTCTTGAAACAAAAGAAAGATTTTTGATTGGGTCAGTATGTTTTATAATGGTCCTAACGAATATTACAAAGATTATTTTAATTGTAACACAAGGGAGAATGAATGTGCAGATAGCGAAAAGGGAAGCTCAGGTACATTGGAGGGGGAGGGAGAATTGTCCCAGTCTCTGGGAACTCCTCTCCATGGGTGAGTGGTGCCACCTTAGGCAGGGGGGGCACGTGTCCCTCCAGCAAGCAGTCAGTGATTGGGGGGGGAAGGGGAGTCCCCCCATGGCCAGTCTCACAAACCGGGAAGCGGCTGCAGCACTCCCAGAAGTGGCCACGGTGCTTCATCTTGTGCTCCCACTCCCCAGCCAGTGCTTGCAGGGGGGCACCAGCACTCCTGCCTGTCCTGCCCTGTCTGTCACCTAAGCAGGGAGCACAGCCTGCCAGGGGGTACACTAGTGGTCTCAGGGGGTACACATGCACCCTCATGCACCCCTTACACATTGCCACTGCTCCCCTCTCCTCCTTTTCTTCCCCTTTGTTCTTTAGAGGTTTTAAGGGATTAATACTGGGGAAAAGAGTATTGGTTTGGGTTTGTTGGCCACGAGTTAGGCCTAGCAGTTTAAATAGGGTTGAAACCTGGGAGATTCTAATCTTGCCAGTTTGGGTCAGGGTTGAGGTTTGCCGCTTTCTTCTTCCAGTGGAGCTGTGACCCAAACTGCCTGCAGCACAGGCCTAGAGGGTAAGCCTGGTCTTTCCCCTTGTTTCTTTTGATGGTCCTTTGGTCTAGTCAAGCTGTATGGTTGGGCTGGCTGTAGCCATTAATCAACCTGTCTCCTTTTGGAGTTTTCCTTGCAGTTTCATTTAGCAGGCCATATAATCCAGCCCAGAAGTTTTGGGGTATGTGCATGCTGTCTGGAGCCGCAGTCACTCCCTACATATGCATACAGCCTCTCCATGGGAGCAAAGATTGACATGCTACCATTCCTGCAAGAGCAACAAGGAGCACCTGGCACTGCAGAAGGACCCATGCTCTCTAGCAGCTTCCCCTAGCAGTGCAACCTATTAGACTATATCTTGCAGTTAGTGGTGTTTTAAATTGCACTTGGTGTTTTCCTCTGTTTTCCATAATATATGTCTTTTGTGTTTACACTGCTTGTGAGGAGGGAGTTTTTATTCATGTGGGACACCCTGGAAATTCATTTAGTTTTTCCCAGGTGGTCTGGGTCAGGGCTCAAACCAAGGTAAAATATATTTAGTATCCCAAAATTGAGCCTGGCACTTGTTTCTGCCAACCAGTGCCCAGCAGAAGGGTTACATAGTAATACTGGGCAGGATCATCCCCCTCCAGTATGAAGCACAAAGGAGATCAAGGCAAAACAAGGGCTGACTAAAGAGGGATCTAAGGGAGGAGAACAGAAACTAAAGAGCATGTGTAGACAAAACAGGGGCCCTAAATTGAAGCAGTGGGTTTTTAAAAATACTGGTTCAATTTAAGGTGAAGTAAACCCCCATGTCATGTACACCCATGTCTTACCTGTCTCTCCAGTGGCAGGGAGGGGAGAGGAGGGCAAGATGCCAGCAGGTGAAGCTGTCCCTGGGCTGGGAGGGGGGGAGTTGCTCAAGCTTCCCTCTGAAGCAGCGGCAGCCCCTCCCCAGGCAGCACCTGCTCACAGGGACCCGGCTCGGGTGGTCCCAGGGGGCACCGCAGCTGTGACGGGAAGGACCGGGTCCCCACGCAGCTCATGCAAGTAGGCAGGTTCCGGGGGTGGGGATCAGGCTCACCACTTTTTTTTTTGTTCGGTGGAGCCTGCCTTCCCGGGCTGCTTGCACAACCCTTGAGCCTCAGAGAGCCCGGTGCTTCACTCTGCGGCTATAGGGCAGCAAACTAAATCTCCTTGGAGGTATTTTAGTTTGCTGCGTCCCAAAGTCATTTAAGGTGCATTCTGCTGCCGAATGTGCTACCGCGGCTGGAATTAATGTGAGATATGCTGCCGACGCGTGCAAACACCATTTAAAGAGGTGCAAAAGCATTTAACCCACTTTAAAGTGTCATGCACACATGCCCCTTGAGACTTCATTCTGTACCTTTATCCAAATCTGTGCAGACAGTGTATATAACCAGGGATCCACATACTGTTGGGCAACAGAATGGGGGCAACTGCTCTACACTGAATCCTCCAATGGCAAAACCACAGAACTGACAACAGGAATTCCTGTTTGGGTTGATAGTTCTGCAGTCAGAATTAATAATATCTGTGTAGCAGGGCAGTAAGGTGCCTGCTACTTGAATAGTAGGATGAGTCACCCAGGTGCCAGTTGCCAGGGCAACCAGGAGGAGCTAGGGTCTCACACCTGTTGAGTCAGCTGGTGAGATTGAGGGTGCATCATAGACCAACCTGGCACGGTAGGGGTGCTAGGGGAGAGCACAGCAACCCTAGGACCTTCCCCCCCGTCCCCCCCACCCCCCAGCCTGGTACAATCTGCATAACTGTTACTGCTACGCTGGCATGCAGCTGTGAGGAAAGGAGTTGTAGGCAGCATATTTCCTTCAGAAGCTGACCAGTTGAAAGTATAGTTTATGGCTGCTTTGAAGTACTGGACCTTTTCATCTCACACAAGTGTAGCGTTGAATCTGGCCCCCTAGGCTTAAACAACCTTGGGCCCATGTCTTCAGCTGCTAGAAACCGTGCATTTAAAATTAGTAATGCCAATTTACACCTCCCATTTTTTTCAAATCAATATTAAAAAACCATAAGGCTAAATGTTTATACTGGGGTGTTTAAAACTAGACACTTCATGGTGGGATTTCCAAAAGCAGTCTGCCTGGTCCTAAATTTGCTTCTATTCACTTTAACAGAAAGTTAGGCCAATGCTGAGTGCACTTTGAAATCCCACCCTACACTTACAGTTAAGTAGTGTCTATCCCACCTCGCTGGTGATTCTGGCACCATAGCCAAGGAAATAAGTCCTGCCATACCCCACCACTCTACAACAATATACAAGACTAAGAATTTATTTTTGAGTTATTACAGTCACCTTTATATACATTATGCAAACACAAATCATGACAAATATTTTTTGTAATATGTTATAGTAGGTGTTTGACCTTTAGAGTATGATTTGGGGTATTTTTTTCTGGTTCTGTTTTTTTCCCTCAGTTTCTTTTTTTAGTCCTGTGAGGGAGTGAAGAGGCAGGCCGGATTGGAGGCTTCTTGCCCCGGCGCAGCAGCGCTGAACTCCCTCCCACACGCCCGGAACGCTGGGCAACCTCTTACCGTCTTCAGGTGTGGGGAAGGAGGCATGGCCCGGATGGCAAGGACCAGCATAAGAGGGACGCCGGCGTCCGGAAGAGAGGAGGCGGAGCCGGAAGGAAGCCAGGCGGCCGCAGCGGCAAGAGGGAGCACCGGCAACTGGAGCGGAACTGTCCGGAGGTGCTGTTGGACTTGGTGGGGTAAGGCAAAGCCCCCACACGGCGGGGAAGCAGGGACAATGGGTCCCAGTGAAGACCCGGGCTGTGCAGTGTGGCTGAGAATGGCTGGACCCGGCAGAAGCCGGGAGCCATATAGATTGTAGTAGAGGGGCACTCTCTACAGAAGAAGAGGCTGGCCGGTGTTTATAAGGACTGAAAGTTGGCAAGAAGCCAGGGAACAGACTAAGGAGCCCTGAGAGGGTTCTAGGGATGAGTGCTTGAGCACTTAGCAGCCAGGTAGTAACAATAGGGCACAGAGGGCAGGGTAGCCCAGTGCCCAAATAACCCCTGGCTGGGAAAATTGATGGCATAAAACAGATATCTCTGAGTGAAAAAGGAGCGACCTACTGACGGGTCCGTTGACCTGAGACGACGACAGACCCGGTGGTACAGGTGAGGGTGTAGGGGTGGCGGAGCCCTCATTGACTAGGGGCCCCAAGAATCCCGGAGTCTCACTTTTGGACTGATACGCGCCAGAATAAGATTACTGAACCGGAATAACATCAAAGTCATGGCAGGCGTATCAAGCGCGTACAGGCTGAGAGGAGGGACTCATAGTGATTGGAAAAGCTTTGGGCAAGATGTGTGAAAAGGCGAGTACAGCATCGGACACGCCGAG